ATCCTGAAATTTGCCGACACAATGATCATATTCGCAACTCACAAACCCTCAGACTAGATCAGTGGTTCTCAACCGGGGTCTACATGGACCCTAGGGGTCCATGTAATATTTCCGGGGGTCCACAGGCAAAGCACAATTGTTGTGTTAATTAAAAATAGTAATAATAATTATTATTATAATTATAGTAGAATATTTTATTTGTATTAAATTAGTTTTCATTTAAAAATGAAGCTTAATCGTATACTATTTCTTTGATAATTAAAACCTTAAAATTTATATTAGTGAAGAATAGAAAATTGTTCCTATGTCCAATAGCTATGAAGGGGTCCACCAAGATAAAAAGAAGGGGAAAGGGGTCCATGGGTAAAAAAAGGTTGAGAACCACTGGACTAGATGCTCATTATGTAGCAACAGTCTCTATGCAACACCATGTGGAACATAAAAACTTTCAACTTTGGGAATGATGTTTCATTACTGAGATAAACAATATCTATATCAGGGGTGGGCAAACATGTGGCCTGCCAAAAGAATTCATGCTGCCTGCCAAATGTTAGTAAATTTGAAAGAGAAAGTTACCAAATAATGCCAAATAATTGTTACAAGCAATTTGATGCTTAATCTTAACAAACTGTTAAATGACTGCAGTCAGATACATTATTCTCATTGAGTCATTGAGATCCTTCTGTTACTGAATTACTTTGTTTTTCAAACAAATCTGTTTCATGTGAAGTTACTACTTCAAAATATCTTGGTCTTGTGAATAAATGGAATCAAAATTTTTTTTAACATTGTAACAATATTTTTACGCCTGAGGTTAGATCATCATTTAAATTTATGAAAATAACATGAAAAATAAAAATTTCTAAATAAGCTGAATTTCAGTAGATTTTTCCAATTACAAAGAACCTGCTATTTGTTCCAAGAAGAAAATTTCAAAAGGCTAAACTTTCTAATTCATTCAATTTTGGAACAAAAGTTTGTTGCATTTTTCAATATACAGTGTTTCAACACATGTTTTTATTTTGCACATCACTGAAATTTATGGCATACATATTCAGAAACTGAAGGAAAATGATATGCAATTTTGTCAGTTGATGCTCTCTTAGTTCTATAAATTTAAAAAATGCTGTACAAACTGCAAAAATTATATGTACTGTTTATGGGATGGTGCCATAACTGAAAGTACTGTTTGTAAATGGTTTCTGAGGTTCAGAAAACTCGTTTATAGTTAGTCTATGAACTTTTCAGCCCACCCTTCCTAGCATCACTTGTTCATAGTCAGCCTATGAACTTTTCAGTCTGCCCTTTGTAGCAATACTCCTTGATTTGTATTTATTTTGGGTTATTTGCTAAAATTAACAATATTTCATAGTAAAATGTTTTTGTAGAGCATAAAGGTCCACTGAATTGCAATTTTCCTAGATAATATTGACATGTATTTCTGAGAGTACCATTCTACATCTTTTAATCTGGAAAACAAAGAGAATTCGGGAGAATTTGCAGTTGTTGATGATGGTCAAATCGAAAAATCTGGTTAAAATAATTCAGGTTACACAACATTGAACATTACATAGATTCTGCCTATATCTCACTTGAATGTTGTAAATGTATTTGAAAACACTTGAATATGTGAATTGTTACTATTTTTAGTTGTCTCTATGATTTAAAGGAAACATTTTAATGAACTGCATTTCCTTCTGTGTTTCTCTGCTCAAGTGTCACAAAAATTCTGAAGCCAAATTTTGGATTTATTTGAAAGATAATAGTATAAAGTTAATCTATAAAAAAAATTAAAAATAGTTTTACAACTTTAAATGAAGGTTTTAGTCTAGTGCATACTACCCCAGACCGAGGAGTGGGACAAGCCTGATTGGGAGCCCCAGTTAGTGTGTGACTTGTTATCTACATTTACTTTCTTTCTACTTACATTTATATACATTACAAATTAAACTAAGCACAACTGGCTATTAAAGGATGAAAATTTGAGGGGGGGGGATTTCACACCATTCTGTTTTTTTTCTCATCCAAATCTGTGAATTTCCTTTGCTCAAGCTAAATCTTGAAAAAAACATGATATAAAATTCATTGTTTTTATCCATAATATTGGATGTGTTAAAATTATTCAGTGTTTTAACAAGAAAAATCTCAAGTGGGTGTTAAAAATTGTTGCAAAACATTGTTGATTTATTTAAGATGGAATGATTTATTATGATGTCTCTAATTTGTATTTAGATACATTGTATTTATTTTCAGTTTTTCTAGTCGAATTGTTCACCTATATTGCAGATGAGCCATTATTGTATATAGGTTACTATGTAAGCAAATATATGGATATAGATCCGACAGTATGAAGAAAAATATACAGAAAAAACAAACAAAAATCTTAATATGCAATTATGCTGTATTAATGTTAATATAAAGTCAATGTCGGACGTTTCGGTCTATTTTAGACCATCATCAGGACATATTCATAAAACATAATTAACATTATAACATATAAAATTCAACATGAAAAAGACGATGGACATAAGAGCACAACTAATCCAAACAGATAACTGAAATTTTTTATATAAGATCAGTGTTCCATTTAAAATATGATCACGTCGTCGTCACGTGGGCAATGTTGTGAAAACATATTCAAAGATGATTTCAAAATATTAAACAAAGTCAATTGAACTATTTTCTCATATAAACAGTTCGTCAAGAAATGAATTTTATGTTTTATGAATATGTCCTGATGATGGTCTAAAATAGATTAACATTATAACATATAAAATTCAACATGAAAAAGATGATGGACATAAGAGCAATAACTAAATCCAAACAGATAACTGAAATTTTTATATAAGATCAGCGTTCCGTTTAAAATATGATCACATCGTCGTCACGTTATGTTGTGAAAACATATTCGAAGATGATTACAAAATATTAAAATATTAAACAAACTCGATTGAACTATTTTCTCATATAAACAGTTCGAAAGGAATGAATTTTAATGAATATGTCCTGATGATGGTCTAAAATGACCGAAACGTCTGACGTTGACTTTATATTAACATTAATACAGCATAATTGCAATTAAGATTTTTGTTTGTTTTTTTCTGTATATTTTTCTTCATAGGTTACTATAAAGATGTAGTAGCATGCTTGGGGGCTGGTATCATAGAGTCGTGAGGCACAAGACCTTTTCACTGGCCTAGGTTTTAGATATTTTTAAAACAGAAAAGTTAAAACAAATTCACTTCTGTCCAGTTTGATTGGCTAATTTAATGGATAATGGCAGAAGAGAAATTAAAACACTTTAAAAATCTAATGTCATTTCCAAACATATCAAAGTTGAAACAATTCTTCTCTTACAACCCTGCACAGGATTTACATGCAGACAGTTGTCTTTAGACCATTGTACACTCCAGTCATCATCAGGTGCTTAGCCATTCAAGGAACTTTGAACTGAACCTGTTATTTAATCTCGTTCCACTGCCCATGTCTCGGGATATAACACAGCCAGGCCAGATCAATCCTGGGTTGTTCCCATGCTGGTTATCTGTTGACTGCTTTGTTCCTTTATCTGCTCTGCTCATGTTGTGTTCTTTGATCACAGTGCAGAAAAGATTGAATTTCCATCTACACTTAAGCACTGAATCGAGTTGGCAGAACCAGGCTATGAAAAAGAACAAAAAATGTTCCCACCAGTGAAAACACAAATGTCATAACAAATAACAAAGAAGACTGCAGGGTTTATATAATCATTGATACAAATAAAATTAACACCTCTGTTTGGCTCTCTATAATGACACTCTATCTCTTGCTTCTAAAACTTGGAGCGTGTTAAACATTCACACAAGATGTTATGTTGAGCATGCTTGGCAGCAGGTCATGTGGTGTTTAACAGCTCCCTTATTCACTGTTGATTCATCTCGTCTTCCTCCAATGGTAACTACTACTCACAAGCCACCAATCTGCCACTGGGTGGCACACCACTAGCATTTACCATTGGTGGCTCACTATCAGACTGCCGTGTGTTCATCTCGGGGGTGGCTGCCACCAGTGGGCCACTAACACTTTGCATGTAAGACAATCATTCGGTTTATATGCATCTCACAACCCCTCAAAGCTCGTTACGTATTCATCACTTAATTATTTTCTCCAACCCTTGAGACAGGACATCAACCCTAAACAAAGTGGTTTGGTATTTCAAATATAATCAATTTTGTTTTACACATTCCTCATTACAATCAGCCATTTCCTCAAAACAATTATTTTCCCTGTTTTAAAAATTATTTCTAAGGAATTTCATTTTGTTTGTTGAATTCCAATGAATCCTCTTTGCTTGTTGATTTCTTCAACCCAATTTCAAATTCCACTGTTTACATTTTTGGCTTTACATAAATACAGTGCTCAGACAACAATGACCTTCAAATACCACATATTCAAATTAACAAAACAAAATTATTTATTCCAAATTGGCAAAAGAATGTTTTGCATTCCAGCTTTCGTATTCATAACAATTTTTATCTGTATTTCTGTTTATCAGAAAGAAAGAAAAACATTTCTCTCTTTTTCCTTCACTTCATATTTCAATTCATTTGTTTTCATCTTAATGTTTTCTTCTTTTTAACATTTTCAACTCTTTCAATTCTCCATTCCTGTACAGGGTTTTCACATGAATCCTTTAAATCCTATTTTCAGTGTCATGATAGGGTCACATTCCTTTCAACTACTACCAGTGACATATTTTTATAGTTTCACAGGGATATCTCATCTAGTTCTTATTTAATACATCAGATTTAAATTATGTAAAAGTTTTGTCTTCATTGCAACATTTGCCTGAGACCAGAAGATATATAATGCTGCATATTGAATTTGTTTTGTTTCTTAAGAAAAATATAAAACTATTGCTCGGTCAATTTATGATTGTAACATTCACCTTAGAGTAAATGAAAGAAATAGTTCCTATTTACACTTATCAAGTAATTTGGTTTGTTAAGAAAAGGTCTTTCAGCCACATCATGTTGAAACACCAGTTCCCATACAATCACCAAATTTAAGCAACATTGAGGTTAGTCAGTACCTAGATGGGTGACCTCTTGGGAATATCAAGTGCTGTAAGCTTAGATGTGCATATGGTGGAATAGATAACAGTTTGGAAATGGTAAAAGGGAGCCAGATTTTAATTTCGGTTGGGTTCATTATATTTATTTATGTGCAAATACCATTAAAAAACACATTCCGAGTGAATGAACATCCAGACACAATTACTGCATTGCTGTATTATATCAACATAATAGACTGCTACAAGATTCAGTACTTACAGATATTAAATAAACAATGTTGTTGCATACTAACCAAGAGTTAGGGCATTATCATTTGCTGAAATGGAAGACATTCAAAAAAATTCACAATTTTATTGGTCCACATAGTATAATAAATTATAAATTAATAATAATTAATATTTAAAATAGATAAAAAAAAGGCTTTTAAAGAAAAAAAAAATGAAATTAATTTTTATCAATTAATATTTTAAAGTACTATAGAAGATTCACATGAAATGTATTTATTTGAAAGACAAAGTTAAATTTAAAGTACTTTTAAAGAATAAAATATTAATAAGTATTTTTAAGTTAAAAGATTTACCTGAAACACATTTGAAAGACAAAATAACCTTGTTTTAAGAAAAAATTATTATTTTATTTATTTGAAAAACAAATTAACTCTGCGTAAAGAAATAAAAAACAATTACTAATATTTTAAAGTAGAAACTTCAAATAAAGCATATAAAGTAACTAAATTTAAAGAAAAGATTTATTTAGATTTTAAAGTAGAAACTTCACATGAAACAGATTTTGTATGAAAACAAAGTAATTCAGTTTAAAGAAAAAATATTACTGATATTTTGAGTTAATAACTTTACATGAAAGAGATTTATTTGAAAAACAAAGTAACTCAGCAACAGAAAGATCTCAATGACTCAATGAGAATAATGTGTCTGATTGCAGTCATTTATCAGTTTGTTAAGATTAAGCGTCAAATTGCTTGTAACAATTATTTGGCATTATTTGATAACTTTCTCTTTAAAATTTACTAACATTTGGCAGGCAGCATGAATTCTTTTGGCAGGTCACATGTTTGCCCACCCCTGATATAGACATTGTTTAGCTCACTAATGAAACAATTCACATCATTCCCAAAGTTGAAAGTTTTTATGTTCCTCATGGTGTTGCATAGAAACTGTTGCCACATAATGAGCATCTAGTCTGAGGGTTTGTGAGTTGCGAATATGGTCATTGTGTCAGTAAATTTCAGGATGGTCATCTTAACATGATGGCCCAGATTTTATTTTTAATAATGCTGATTTCTGTTTCCTGATGAGGTCAAGCAGTTTGGTGCAAGTAAGACCTGAATTGTTCATTTCACCTGTTGCACACTTCCGACATCAGTTTTTATAGCCAGCATATGGTTGTAAAGGAAAGAACAACTGAACATTAACATTTCAACAGTTATATTTGATCAATTATCAGAATATATATACAATGCGCAATGTCAGCGTATGTAACTGTGTGAAAAGGTGACAAAATTGTTGATACAAGGTTCTTCAGTTGCCGTTGGTAAGGGAAGTGGTTAGGCATAAAGGTGTTGTTGGTAGCCCTGGGGGTTGATGGATTTGTTGGGTCAGTTGACCAAAGTTATAGTGAAGATAACAAGAGAGGCCTGGGGTGGATATGTGAAGCTGCATTGTAGCACGAATGTGGTGTTGTTGTTGGTGGGGAGTATTCATCATGATCATGGTTGAAATTAGCACCAGTGAAGTGTGTGTGGGCAATCAACAAAGTGTTGGGTCAAACTGCCAGGCTCATCATTTTTTTTTTTTTTTTTTTGCACCAACATTTATGATTGCCTGTTGTATTTTAGATTTTTGCAGGGATTTGCTTTGTGGACAAGATGTGATGCTCAGAGCCCCTGTGCAGAAGATGAATTTTTTTATTTTGGGATTTGCTTTCTTTGCACTGACATGTCTAGTGAAATGTATTTGTCGTGTCCATTAAAATATCAAATACAATATTTATAAACCAATCAGTCAAGAAAACATTTACATCTTCAAACACACCAATAAAATCATAGATTACAAATCAGAATGTTTGTTGTATTAGTCATCATTATTTTTAGGTAGGTGCCGACCAAATATCGTACGGAGATAGTAGAAGACATACCACGTACCATTTTAGAAACAATTAGGAATAAATAAATAATTTAATTCTGGAGCCGATTTTGTTACGAAAAAGTGTATAAAAACATACGAAATTCATTCCCAAACAGAGATACATGCGGCTGTCACCAAACTCCACACAACTCTCGCTTATGATCTTCATGACATCATGCTAAAAGTGACAGCGTTGACAAACTTCAGACTACGGCAACACCGTTAACAGTAAGAAACAATTCCTATCTCTCGTATCCGCTTTTACTATGAATCACGCACACACATGTTGACTTTTTCATACAAACACACATATAACAACATTTTATTGTTTCTCACATACGTACACAAAGACAGTTAATATTTTATTTTCAGAACTTTATTAACTCAAACAAAAAGACATTACTTTCCAATCTATCATCAACTGCTTGTATTCTTGTCACTGTATTAAATTAATGTTTATTTGTTGAAAGTATGTTGTCTTTTCTACTGATTTTTTTTTCCTTCAATGAAAATCGTGTGATAGATGGTCAAATTATGAGCGACTCTGTAACGATATTTTGTTAATGTATCAAATCCCGACACTCCAAATTTCAACATTCAACAAAAAACCCGAGTAGAAGGATTCCTACATATTTATGAATCAGAAAGATATTTTGACTAAAAAGTAGTATATCTATAACGCCAAAGTACTTAATACTCAATAAAATATAACAATAAAATATTTTCTTAAAATTTTAAGGTTGCTTGGTAGTTAAAAAACTCTATAAAAAGGTGCTCACGGTGTATGCATCTAGTAATTTTGTTTAGTTCTGTCCCCCTTAAATTTCCATATCAGGTTGTCAATAATTCACTCAACATGTCAGAAAAACAATTCCTCTGTGTAAAAAATACTTTTCTGTTATATTTTAAACTAAAACTAATATTTTTTCAGTTTAGATTAATTAAACTTTCATTAGTCTAATTTTCCTAAAAAGTAGTTTCAAAAAAGCATATTTCATTTTTAAATAAAAAAAATAGAACAATTTTGTGTCGACATATCTGTCATTATGGATTAATTTATGGGTTTCACTGAAGACAAAAGGGGGAAAAAAAGATTTGAAATGCACTATTTAGTATTTTAGTTATTGTGAATATTAAATTTAATCTGCTAGCATGGGGTTAAATCTAAAATTAAAGCTTTAAGATTTTTTAAGATTCATTTTAAATTAATTATACTATTTTTTTGGGTACCTACATTTTCACTCTTTTCTTTTCGCATATAAACTTACTTAAAAAAAAAAACAAAATAACAATTCTTTCAGTCTCAATTTCACACTGAGTATGATTTTTTTTATGCATCTGATGAACCAACTCTAAATTTTTGCCTTTATTTTTTTTTTCCTTTTAAAAAGGTAAATTTTAGCTTTTAAATTTTTTTTTAAATTAAAATTTATTGAAATTTTTCTTTTAGGAAAATCAGCTTAAAATGTAAATTTTAGTTTTTAGAATAATGCAAGTTCTTCTGTCTCTTAGAAAAAAAATAATTAAAAATGTAAACATAACATGTCTTGTAAATTCAAGATACTATTTACTGATTACATGCGAATTGGGAAATTGATATGCATCCTCTAACTAAATGAAAGCAGTAATAAAATTTCCCACCGTATCTTTGTTTAGTTTCGTTGAGTTATCTCCCTTGAATATTGTTCTTCAGTAATCATTATGCATCAATTGCAAATGGCGGCTGTTTTTAACTCTTTAAGCACAAAAGAACGGTTTATTTAAAATTTTAACAGCACACCCCATTGTTCTCACAAAGTTTCATTGTCTTAATACAAAATGAATTGGGCCAAAATAGTAAGTTTAATATTCTTTTCTATTTAAAATATACATATTTGCAGATCTTTCTTTAATACAAAGAATTGACGTGAAATATTTTAAAATAAACTCCGTTAAAAATTCACGTATTCTCACCGAAAAAATTTCGAACATTTTATATATCTTTCCTGATAATTGTTTATTTAATTTTCTTAAAGTTGAATCTGAATTTTTTTTTTTTAATTTTTGCTGCCATTTTAAATTTGATTTTTTTTAAGTAAATTACAAAATCATGTATAAAAACGATAGGTAACATGTCCAAAATGGATATGATTTTCTGAAATGAAAGCAAATACTCGCTACCCACTGGTTAAAAAAAAAATGCCAAAAATCAGAGAATTATTCCATTCAAATGAAATTTTTTGTCTTTATTCATTAATGAATGAATTGTATACTGAATAGGTCATTTTAGTAGAAAAACTCTGTGGAAACATTTTTGGTGGCATATTCCACCTCAACTTTTACATATCTCGTGTGTATTTTTTAATTTGGTGGAGGGTAGCGAAATTTTCTTCTACTGTAATATAAAAATAAAATTATTCATTCTACTAAGTTTAACAAAAGTATATAGAATTAAAACTTACATTCTTAAACTATTGGCTAAAGAAAGTTATATAAGGGTGAATGTTATTCATTTTTAAACATAAATGCCAATTTCTTGCACTAAATGTTTGATTAAAAAAATCATGTTTCTCTTTGCGATAGTGTCATTAAGAAATAACATTGCATATTAGAATCTTTTGTTTGAAGTGATAGACATTAATTTTGAAAATCTTTCAAAAAAAAAAAAAAATACTGTTGTATTTTAATGAAACTTTCAGGATTTATTCCCAAATGATTGAAATAACTTAAAAAATTTTTTTTTTCTTTTATGAAAATCATTGTAAAAATTTTTTTTTAAACTGTTACTAATTAAAACTGGTTAAAAGCAGAAAAGTCTTTCAAGAATTTAAATCATCAATTCTTTTTTTGTAAAATTTAACTACCAAAAATCTCAATTTCAAAAGCTTTTAGTTGCTTTTATAAGGACAATATTATCTGAAAACAAAAATTAT